TGCAAATAACGTTAATAAATATCGTAAACTCACCCATGATAAATACTTCAATATTATAGGTTTGGAATCTTGTTTGATGAAAGAGCCCATCCAATTCCACATAAGCCATACCGTGAAATATGGCAAAACTAATCCATCCTTTTTTAATAGCGGAAACATACTAATACATTAAATAAATATTTATAATACTTATTAGTGTCTTTAATATCAATGTACTTGGTTGTCTACTAATAATTTTATACCTGAACACTGCAACATTCATAAACCAAGAACACCAGAAAGTATCATCTAAAATTAATAAACTAACAGGTAAAAGGGGTAATAAAATAGATTTTTCATGGACTTGAAATGAAAACATGAAAAAAGCTAATGAAGAATTTGCTAAACAATAAATAAGGTAACGTTTATCAGGATTTAATCCAAGATGAATGCATGATGGTAAAATAGAAAGTAAAGTGGTGATAAGGCTAAATTTACAAGATGAATATAAATATTGTGGTATAAAATAATCAATTAACATCATATAATAAGATATTACCTAACTTTAGCCAATGCTTGAACACTCAGAATTTCTCTCAATTTGATAATTACATTAATTGCACACCAAATATTTGCGACTTTGTCTTCATATAACCCACGTTGTAATGGGAATATGCGAATAATGACTTGTGAAATTTGTTCTAGAGAAACTAAGAAAGGACAAAATACTATTCCAAAAGTAACAATTACTGTAATGCCCAACTTAATAACCCTGTGCACATATGAGTTACATATTAAATCGATTTAATGAGATTTGACAAGAAATAATAAAACAATATGAATAGTTGCCTTCGTATATCATTCTTTATGCACTTTCCTAACAAGTATGAAAAAATCGCAGGAGCAAAGTAAAGCGCCATCTGTTTGAAACTCAAGGCAAGACAAAAGAATACACTTCCTAGAACATCATGGTCATAAAAAAAGCAATTGATCGCCCACAGAGTTAGACCAAGCATTACAGAATTATACCTGATAGAAATATGCAAAAGGTGGAAAATGAACAGCTCTTGATGAGAAATAAGTGGTCATAATAATTATAATTGCGGTAGCTGATGCTGAAATTTTACCTCTTTTATTTAAATTTTTAAAAATTTTGGGCCCTTTTTGTGTTTTTAATTTCTAAACTCAGTTCCAAGGTTTAATTTTGCAATACTCATCTATGATTTTAGTAGGCATCATAAATTTAAATTGGGACCAAAATTTCAGAATTAGCCAATTTCAGCATAAGCTGCCACCATTAATAATGGTAATTTTTACATACTGAAAATGACCATTATCTATTAATATAAGAGCAGGTTGCAAAAGAATCAACAATATTGCCAATTCCTAATAAAGTATAGGTTTAGACAAAGAAATTATGACAATAAGTAATCAAATTTGGAACTATTTGGATATGTACCCGTTTCTTCCATGAATTACCAGCAAACCACCAATTAGTAAATATTAAAACCGCTGGTACATAGATCAAATATTCACAAACTAAGACTGTAGATCTCATGAACAATTTACTTTCATCACTTTCATAACCATGTGAACTATCCAATGCAAACCAGGTTGGATTAAATATATAACCTCTAAAAAGTTGTTTTTAAAGAAACAAGATAAATCAAAAGAAAAATTGTAGAATTAATTTCAATCAGCCATACATTTTACCACAAATCCAGCTCACATATGCCGTCAATGGAGGATAATCAAGGCCCCACCAATTTAAATCGTAGTAATACCATTGACTAATTGGAACATGTAACGTAAGTTCCATCCAATGCCTTTGCGCTTCATAATCACCGTACATTGGTGGAGTGTTATAACCTGAGATAATCATCAGCCAGCATAATTGTTGAATTTGTTCATTTAAACGAGTTTTACACAATAGCTAATTTAGTGCAATAACTTAAACTTGCCAGAATAAGGATTCAAGCCCACAGCCAATCTAACGTAAAGCGCGAAAATTAAAGTTATATAAGTAGACCAATTATCTATTTTTAAATCGCTCATCCAATTTAACCATCTCTTCGTTGGTGAATCTATAATAGAATCCTCTTCCGACATTATATTTTTGTGACTAGATTCTGAAGTCTTTGTGTGAGCCATAATTATTAAACCTCTAAATGTGTGCTACGCCTATTCGCTAAGCTTATATATTGTTACATGACGATCCATACATGCCTGACCAATAAAATCCACCACATGTACTCGCATCAAAATTAGTAATGCAGTTTAACCAGTTAACTTCAATCAAAAAAAAAAACCCCCACAATATGCTGCGTTGCATAGTTCGAATGCCATTCAACTCGAATTCTTTTAGTTTTAACCAGTGCAAAAGACGGATATTTATTTATCGTAAAACACATTTTTAAGTATCCCTAACATTTTGAAGGCTAATATTTGTATTGTATCCGAATATTTAAATACAAGTCTCGTTATAGTGACGACTAATTAAAATCTCGATATAGTGAAATTAAGCTCGAAGCCAGTTTATACAAAATTCTCTCGATATAGTGAATTTACTAATAACCTCTCGATATAATGAATTTTTAAAAATTTTAGAACAGGGTGAAACCTGAGTTGCGAAATAGTGAAATCCGCTTTCCTAATACTGATAAAAAAAAAAAAAAACAAATACATAAATTTTCATTCATTTCTTAAAAAAATAATAAAAATTTATGTATTGTATTAGGTGACTAAATAACTTATACAAAATTGTTTGTGTTCACATAAAACATGTTGGATAATGCATGTTATTATAGTAAAATATAATAAAAGGTATAGGAATTTTAAGGTATGTTTAGGCAATGTTGTTATAGAATACAGACACAAACAGCAGACAGTCTGAAACAGGACATCCCAAATATGTCCGCCAATATTTTTTTATCTTGAACAATTAAAATTATAATTAGGACAGCCATATTAGTCAATCAGGTTGTTTGATGAACTATATGACATGGAACAACCATCACGGACGTGAGATATTGTCCAGGACATGGAACACTGTCCGGGACTGTTTAGGACTGTCCGTGTCCGCGCAATTTTGACGGGACAACGTCCACATACAACACTGTGTTTAGGTGTATCTAAAAAGTATCTTTCCCAGCATCGCCTTCAAAATAGTAAAACCACACAAGGAAAACGTTTTGTTAAGGCGATTTTTGGTAAAACGAATGAATTTTCCTGATCGTGTTACGTTACACATGATCTTGAAATATGATTGGTTTGCGCCACAATAATATCACGTGTCCGTACTTTTTGAAGGGTGCAAAACACATTTTTGATACATCCAAACATACCCTAAAAAGTATAAAAAGTATAGAAATTTTAGATCTTTGACATTGGTCAAGTTGGTCAAATGGTCTAGTTATAAGAACAAATTGACCAATTAGGCCAATTTAACTATAATCAAATTTGCTGATTTGTTAATTTGGTTCATATTGCTAGACCATTTGACCAATTTGACCAGACCAGTTTGACCAGAAACCCTTTGACCAATGACCAGCAAATTTATAGTCGACCACTAATTTGACCAACACTGAAAGTTTAGATGTATTAAAAATGAATGTTTTGCTACTGGGGTAGTTTTTCGATCATACAATATCACCTGACTGAGAGAAACTTGGAAACTTGGAATAGTTCATTTTTACGAGAAGATTAAAAATACAAGTTCTTCTATACTGACACTATCTGTTTTTCTAGTTTATCGTTGGACTAAAATCAGCACCAGACTGAACGATTCTGGACCAAGGACAGAAGATCATTCGATCTTCGTTTTTTACCGTCTAGTCTCGATCTTTATGAAAACCGATCCATCCTTACCATCAGGGGTGGCTTGAGAACGGCTGTGTCGACTTAGCTGACTTTTAAATTTAGTTGTAAATAATTGGTTAGTATATAAAGTCAATAGGATTATATAATTCTAATATATCTCTTAGTCCCAATGATTGGAGAAAATCTGGCACGACTAAACTAATTTGGCATCAACATTGGAATGGGGTCGATATACTATATCAATCAAAACTATATGTAGTATAATATAAAATTTACTATGCAAGAATAATTCATCGCGAATTGTAGATAGATGTACAGCTTTAACGGCTCGATGGCTTAGGATAAAAAATTTGTAAAAACCAACATTATGTCTTTATGAACGAATTGCAGTGCTATTTTTTCATTTATATATCAAAAATTTTCAACTTACTATTTAAAAAAGATTTTATATATAAAAATTTTATTTAAATGATATAAATAAAAAAATATATAATAAACAAAAAAAATAGCATTGTAACTTCGTTTGTTGAGATATAATATTGGTTCTTTAAAAGTTTATCCTAAATCATCGAACCGTTAGGGCTGCACATCTATTTGAAATCTGCGAAGAATTATTATAGCTCATAAATAAAAAATCGGAACTCATATTTTTGATTTAAATAGTATATTGACTCTAATGCAATATGGCATGTTATTAGTAAATACATTCTAGCATGCCATAATACAAGTTTTAATAAAATTTTTTTCTAAACCATTATTAATTTGTTTAACCAACTAAATTACATGAATATAAAAGCATGCCTTAATAAAACATGAGTATTCTGACATGCTCAGTGGCATATCTACAGCTATCATGCCAAGCTCCCTACTGGACAGGACCAATGTCTGAGCACAAAAAAACTAAGACTATAATTTTGACAAAATGTTTTTACAAGTATTTATATTATTTTCAATACTGATGCGAGTATAGAGTAACATTAGAGATAAGTCGATGTTTAAACGTTAGGTTTACCTATTGTCAAGCCTGAATAATTGGTCTTCGACAAAAACTCTTTATTCAATTACCACGTTGAGAAAATAAATATCTTAAATCAAGTAAAATCCGATAGACATTTTTATCAAGTAAGCATTCATATATTTTGAAAATATAACTTTAATCCATAGGATAAATGTAAAAATATCTAGAACAAGTATTTACAAATCTAAAAATATTCAAGCTTTTCTTTGACTTCTTCTAAATATGGAAAACTCTCCATCGTACCATACTTGCTAACAGCTAATCCAGCTGCCACAATTGCTTCTTTCAATGAATCCAAAAATTGCTCAGCCGTTGGTAAAATAAATGATTCAACATCAATTGATATATTTTGTTCATTTTTCAATTGATTTCTAGCAAGACTGGCAATAAAATAACCAGTAAATGCATCACCAGCTCCGGTGGTATCACACAAAGTTGTTTTAAATGCAGGTAAGGTATAGACACGTTTTTCTGGACCAAACCAGGCTACTAATCCATCACTTCCAAGAGTAATGATAATTCCAATTAATTGTGGAAATTCATTTGAAAGTGCATTCAATAATTCTGTTGATGACAGTTCAATAGTGACACTAATAGCAAAAATTTGTCGATATAATTGAGTTGCCTCTAGTTGGTTGACAATTAAATAATCTACTAAATCAAATGAAAATATTTTTGTAATATCTTCTGATATTGGTGCTGCATTTAAAACAGTCGTCAGTCCTTTACAAAATTGTTTAAATTAATGTCAAAATCTAAAATATATACTATATATATACCGGTGAATCAGTAAAAAGGCTTACTTACCAAGATTTTTGCAAAGTTTCAATATCTTACCGCCAATAAGTCCTATTTCATTTTGAAAAACTGACCAATCACCTTTTCCAAAACCTTGTGCTAAAACTTCTTGTGCTTCTATTTCGCTCAGCAAATGATTCGTTCCTGGAAGGAGAATTATAGCATTATCTCGTGTGTCTTGGGAAAGTTGAATTATGGCTCGTCCAGTTGGCTTGATCCAGTTGATCCATATGAAAATAAACATAATTGAAAAAATATTTGCATATAAAACAAGAATAAATAATGTACCTGTTCTTTAGATATAATTATATTATCCACGTTCACTAATTGACTTTCCATATATTCTTTAATCCAAATTCCGTCATGACCAATTTTTCCAACATGCCATACCCTTGCACCTGCCTGTGTGGTAAAGGAATTCATGTTTCATGATTTTTTGTCGATGGCAAGATAATGACATTGAAAAATAAAGGTTATAAGAACTTTTGCTATGGCTACTGATTGATTAGCACCTAACGGTATAATTATAAAAAAAAAATTTGCATTGAATGAGTGTCGAAACGAATATATGGCCGTGTGCATTAGTAAATAACCTTTTCCACCCGCTTTTTGCGTATACTTGGCACTTGTTATAGTCTCACCACTAAAGACAATGTGCGGAACATCGAAAAATTCATCCTAATAAAAATTAAAGTTGTGCTTGTAATCGAAATTGCTGGCTGAAGTACTCTAAAAAACGGTACTAACAATATTAATCGATCCAAATACTAATATTTTAGGTTCAAACATTGTTTGCACTCATGTTATTGAAATGTAATTAAATATAAAATTTTGTGGTTACACGGATCAAAAAAGTCAAAATTTTTTTTTTTTATTCGCTTCAGACAAGCGTGAAAAAAGATGGTAACAATGAAAAAAAGAAACAATATGTACACATAAATAATGAATCTCAGATACATAAATTGCCAACAGGAATACAGCAATTATCTAAAAACTAACACGTAAGTAAGGATATTATTAACTCCTCCCTCAAAAAAACATACAAAATCCAATTAATGATTATATATCATTAACGATATTATTTTGAGATGGTGTGTATACCGATATTATTAAAAGGTTTAGTAAAAATAGAAATATGAAAAAATTTTATCAGCTAAAATTTAGCGTTAGTCGTCATCTCAACCGTGCTTTCATGATCTTCTGGTATCACAGAAACAGTATTGTTATTATTAGGTATCTTTATATAGTCCTAAAAAAAAAACCAATTGAGCAAAAAAAGCATAAAGAATACTAATCATTATATTTATTATTATTTACTTTAAAATTGAAATTTGAATCCTCTTGTGCGAAAGGATGTTCTAAGAGTTTTTCAGCTGTTGGTCTGAGACTTGGATCTCTATTATTTAAAGAATTTAGTTAAATACAAATGAACTGAGCATGAGGACGATGGTGTTCATCAGTGATATCTGTATGATCTAAGTGACAGATATTATCATTAGAAGACATTCAGTCACTCGATCTGACCATGTTTATATGTCATTTATGAATACCATCTGGCCACTCGAAAAATAAAATTGTATATATCACTTGTACAAATTCTTACATTATAAAGCATTGGTTTAAGAAGTCCTGGGCCTCTTTTGATATTGACTCTTTGACATCTTCTCTTATTGGAGGCGCTTTTTTCTCACTTCCAATCTGAAATATTAATATTTGATGAGAAATATAAGCTAGAAATCAAAAACCTTACAATTGTACCTTAAACATTGCAGTGACATCTGTAAATGGAGCCCAAGGTCGCTCATCAGTAAACATCTCCAGTACCACACAACCAAGACCCCTATAGATTAAATTTTAGTAATAAATTAACCGTATTAAGAAGTGGGGCTATACTAATAATAATATTATTATTATTGTTATTTACCATATATCTACTTTGGCACTGTATCCATTAGTGAAAACCTCTGGTGCCATCCAGAAAATTGTACCTTGTAACGTCATATTAGATTTATTGTCGTAGGCAAAGGCGTCTAATAGTAAATAAAGATTAATTTAAATTTGCTAAATCATTTCAAATCAATTTAAAATACACATAAGAATGGAATTTAAGTGGATTTGGAATTTCGAAAATTTAAATCAGAGTGTAGGTTTAAATAAAATAAATTCTAGCTTAAAATTCTAATTATATAAAAAAATTTCAAACCCACTTGAATTCTGTTCTCATTACATACATACCACTTCTCTTTGATATTCCAAAATCAGAGATTTTACAACAACCATCTTCATCAACAAGGATATTGTCCGCCTTAATATCCTGAAAAAAAGGGAGACACAAAATAAGTTTACTATTCAAGCATGATATTTATCATTTAGATCAACCGAAAAAAAAGAAATGTACATTACCCTATGCAATATGTTTTTTCCATGCAGGTATTTTAAACCGTCTAAAATCTGCCGTGTGAATGATCTTACTACAGGCTCTTTAAACGGGCCATTACTTCTTAAAACTGTACCGATTGATCCACCGTTAACATATTCAAGAAAAATGTTAATATTTTCTTCGTTTTCTTCATACCCTATTATGACAGCCAAAAGTAAACAGCTTTAACATTACACTTATTCGATTTTAATTGCAAAATATTGAAACATATGAACAGATTTGTACCGATATATGAAACTATATGTTCATGGTCTAAATCTTTTAAAATTTCCATTTCATCCTTAAAAGATTTTATCTTAACACGAATAAATGAATTTGTAAGTGTCTTGAAACTTATATCGTGGCATTGTGTACATATTATGAAAAAATGCACAAACATACCTGAACTTTATGACGTTCATTCCTTTTATCTGAAGGAGTTAACGGTTGCTCTATTTGCTTGACTGCCACCACTTCCGACGAACTTAGGTTCAACGCAAGGTATACTTTTCCAAAGTTACCTTTACCTATTAGTCTACCTTTTACCCATTTAACACCTGTTATTTTAAACGTGGGAAATAAATCATGTAATTTTAAAATTCGTCAAATATCTAATAATAAATAAAGTAGGGTAAATCGAGGCACACACGTTTTTTTTCGGTACAATCTTCGTCCGAACCGGAAATGCAGGGTGCTTTTTTGCCAGCAGGTATTTGCTCAACAACACGCATGTTCCATAGTTTAGTCGTGGGTCTTCTACTAAGTTTTCCTTCTTTTACTGTAGTGGCTTCAACTGATTTCCGATTGGTACGTTCACGCTCTCTCGCTTCTCTAGCGACAACACGAATAGACTTTACACGCGAAATTGTTACTCCGCTTTTTTCAGGAATAGCGGATACTGGCGTTGTTCGTGGCAATGGTTCATCACTCGGCGCTGAATTCTGAGCAGATACATGAGCATCAACGATAGGCATATCAACATCATGATTTGGGAAATATTGCTCTATATCTTCAAAAATATCTTCTGCAGTTGGTCTCTCAATCCAGGATTCTTCAGCCTTTACGCCTCTGCGCTTTGAAACTGTTCGAGCAAGTCCGCCAGTATGCCGCTTTTTAAGCTGCTGTGATTGCGAGGTTATACTTTGAACTTTGTTAACTTTATTATTTGGTTCACCATTTTCGGGTAAATTGTTTTGTCGTTCGATATTAGCAGGATTTCTGTCAATTACTACCTGATTATCACTTTGTTTAAAACTACTTCTTTTATGTATCTGAGCTACTGATTCTTCATCAGCATTGTTAATATTTTGTATTTTTGACAAAAGCCTTCCCCTATCATCATTTTTATCTGTAATTTGATGCGAGGTATCCACAGGACTTGATACATTGGATGATCGCGAAGGATTTGTAGGTTTAGGTGGTTTAGCCCATATGGATATTTCTTCTTCAATACGTGTAGAACTACTATCTGTTAATTTGGGCCAAAGAGGTTTTTCATCGACACTGTCCGGAAAAACTATATTATTGGGAATATCAGGCTTCCTAAGTGTAAGGTCTGGTTCAGATGACATTGTACGTTTATGTACATAAGGAGACTCATTTTCTGGCATTTCGTGAAGGTTCATAGATAGAGCATTTTGTGAAACTGGCAAATGAGGTTGTGATTTACTGTATTTATTGGGATACTGGTTATATGGCCCAACACCATAATACTGGGATTGATTATGTGGTTGTGGAACGGTATGTGTTTTCGAAGGAATAGACATAGGTGCTTGAGAGATATGTTCTCTACTAGTGTGACGACGAATTGCACCATTTGCTGGTTGTAAAATCGCAGGATGTGATCTTTGAAGCCTTGGTGACGTGCCACCATTCCAATTATAATCAATACGATTTGACAAGTGATTTTCATTTTGAAATTCTACTAAAGCCGTATTTCGATGTATATCATCATAATAATGAATTTCATTATCTTGTGAGGTCAAATCTTGAGGAGGTGACCCAGAGATCCGACTACCAGATGGTTGTCTCCTATGATATCTGAGCCTATTCATATCCTGTGGATCTTCTGCTATCGAACTAAATTCATTTTGCAGTTGTTTCCGCTTGACCAATAATTTTAAGTCACCACGATCATCTGTATTCATGCATTTTTGCATGAGATCAAGATCACTAATTGGTGCTCCTATGTTCGACATAATAATAATATCAAATGAATTTTAGATTCGTTAATTAAACCAAGTAATGAAAGGAAGTATACCTAAATCTTTATCTTTTAGTAGACCGAACTTAGTCAACACGTGAATCGTATAATCTTCTTTCTCATTAAAGTCAATCCCTAGCTGAGAGAATATTGTATCTTTTATCGAATTTAAATCTTCGAGATCAGTAATATTGGTTGGGATAAAGGTTTTCATATTATTAGTTACTTGAATCCAACGTTGTTTTGGTGGATCAATAGAAAAGAGTGTGCTGTCATTTGACTTTAAACGTTCAAAGTAATGTTAAATTATTTTAAAATTCTAAAATATAAATATAAATATATATTAAATGAAGGTACTCATACCGAATGACTTTGTGATCTATTATGGGATGCATGTTTAATCTGTCTTCTGCTAGATTGAGGACTTATGTTTTTATCTTCTGACTT